AAGTTAGGCTCAGTGCCTTCTGCAGTTGCCTGTAGAGCCACATGCTCCTTTCAGGGATCAATCCCAAACTTCATAGATYAACTTAGAGATTTTCATTCTCCTGTGGGACATACCTCTGTTACTTCCTTCTGCCATTCCTACCTTTATCAAAACCTGCTACAGTATCCATAATTCTGAGTCTAGCCTGAATAAGTCTGAGAGGTCTAGCGTCTCTCAAAATGCCRGACTGTATACCGGGCACAGTTGTCTCACCCTGTCATCCCAATGTGCTCAAAATAACCATGGTGCCTTATTCCAACTAGTATCTGCCAAGCACTACCCAGATTTGAACTTGAATTGTGCTGTCTGCAAAAAAATCAACAAATAAACTCTTTTCACTCTGTCCTGAAAAGTCTCTGTAGTTCTTTTGTGTTTGTTTTACTGAAGAGCTGATTTTCKTGATGTTAAACTGGCTTGACTTTTCTTAAAGGTTGTAGAGCACCATTCTGTAAATCAGCATGTCTTTCCAGGAGTCCGAGTGAAGTCTGCAGTTAGGCTGGCTAGCCTATAGCTCCAGCCTTGGGCACATGCCTAGGTGTGACCATGGCAAAGTAGAAGCTTTGATCTCCCCAAGGACTGCAGCATTTCACCAGACCCACCTCACTGCTCATGTTCGGGAAACGTCGTCTTCTAGTTTTCCTTGCAAGAGGAGTGCAAGGCCACTGGTGCCTGACTGGACGTTATCCTGGGCTATCTACAGCAGCTGATCCTGCTTGAGCAGGTGAGTTGAACCAGGTGATCTCCAACCACCCCTTCTAAACCCCGGCTCTATTCTGTGTGTCTTTCCCCACTACAGAGGTGGTGTTGCAGCTGAAACAMGCTTTCCCCTTCTTCAGTTCTTATTTCACCCAGCATTTGTGTGTCTAGAGCATGCTAAGTGGATGATCAGGGCAACACAGAGAACGGGGCATTTCTGCAAGGTAGAATTTGGAGGAGAGATCGAGCAGGATGTGGGTTTYGTATAGGGGGGTCTCTCAGGTGGAGGGTGCAAAGGGGCCCACAGCATGGATGCAAGGAGACACTGCCAGCGCACACACAACTCTGGGCCAGTGCAAACAYGGCTGTGAGAAGCTATTGCTGAGTGTGTTGTTGTATCAGTACCATGTTTTTGTTCCTTTGAAACGGAGAGCTGTAAGGGGAGCTTCTTGAGAAAGAAGAGGATGAAACGTGACAACATCCACGTAGAAGCTGTGGTGAGAGGACAACTAGGAATTCTAGGAAGGATGCCTGCTGCATTCCAGGTGTGGAGTCTACTGCTCCAACACACACACACACACTCCCAGCAGTAATGCAACAAAGATCTGAGATGCAGAATAAGTTATTTCCTGAAAACCCAGGCTAGCAAAAACCACTGGCCATAGGCAGCCCACTGAGTTGACAGAACCTCTGACACCTTGCAGAGAGAGGTATAGTATGTAGTATATGCTAAGCATGTCACAGTCACATGATCATGGTCCAGAGGCCTAGGAAAGAAAAACTCTCAACTTCTTTTCCATTTCAAAAATCCAAAATTTTACAATGGTAATCTGTACAGTTTATCAAGAGAGGGACCACAAGTAACAAGGTTTACACAAAATTTAAGGAGCTCTAACAAGTGATGGGATCCCTTTAGACTATCATACATCATCCATATCATACAGTGGTGGTCACACATCAAAGAGCAGACTGCAAGTCATGACGTGGTGCTCCCTGTGCTGCTGTCTACAGTCTTCATGAGTCATTTTTAGTGAAATGCAGAGGTATGAGAGTGAATCCCTATGCAGGCAGGGGCTGTAGCTAAAGACAGGGAGGAATTGCTGGTTGTATTCATGCAGTGATTTCAGACTACCGAATTTACAAACTAAAACCAGGAAAAATCACCCAACAGCCAACTCCAGTTTGCAGAGAAAGGGGAAAGGAACAAACTGGTAATCCTCATGGCACATTCATCTTCATGCTTTGCTTCTGTTCATTCCTCAGCAAGCAGGTGGGAGCCATGCTCTTTAGTCAGAATCAGAACTGCTGCTGCTTGAGCTGCTTGAGGAGTGCTGGAAGAGGAAGAGATTAAATGATTTTAGGATAGCATGGAACTACCTCTCTCTCATGCCTTTTAATATAGGTGTCTACAATCCTACTGCCGACAGGAGTTGTTGCAAGTCTCTGCTGATACTGGCAGCACAAGTTCAACAGCTAGAGCAGTCCCAGCAGAGGGACCACAAAAAGATAAGGTGGTTTCATGGGGCCAGTGCCAACCTGGATCAGGACTGAGTCTGTGTCGTACACATCTGGTGCATCTCTGACTGCCTCCAGAACCAGCTAACTCACCTTTTTCCAGGTACCTTTGCWCGTCAGCAGAGTTAGTATACGGACGTTTGGAAACTATAATTGTGGTAGGGCTGGAGAGGAGGAAAGATGTTTAAAAAGGWTGTTCTGGTTAATTACAATCCAGAAAAAAATCTGTTCTCTGTCAGTGAGGGCAAACATCAACACAGATAACTTTCCAAGACATTAAACGCCAAGGGGAGGTTATGGTTTGGTTTGTTTGCAGAATGCTTGCCTGATGGTGGAACTGGAGTTTTTGTTCAGAAGACCATTGTTCAAACATACTCCAGATGGTCCCAGTCATTAAGAAGGCATTTTCTGTGGGACTTTGGGAAGCATTTGGGAAGCCCTTCTCTCTCCAAGTGGAGATTGGTGTTTAGGTGCCCGACATTCCTACTTACCTTGCCTCCATGGTGCTTATGGCTGCACTTCGTGTGTTTCTTCTTGTTCTTCTTGTGCTTCTTATGATGGCAGTCAGGCTGGCACGGTGGGCACACCGGCACCCCTGGAGGGGGGTGCCCGTGGGGGTGCCCATGGGGATGCCCATGGTGGTGGTGGTGCCCATGGTGGTGGTGCCCTGGTGGGTTGGGGCTGTGGGGGCGTCCAGGTGGACAGGGACCGCAGGGGTAGCCACCCGGGGGTCCTGGGGGGTGCGGCATGGGGGGCGCTGCTGGAGGGCAGCCAGGATAGGGGGCTTGCGGCACGCAGGGCCCGGGGTATGTTGCAGGGCCAGGGGGGCAGATCTGCACTTGTGGTGGCGGCACCCCTCCAGGCGTTCCTAGAAAGAGGAGAGCAGCGTATGTTTGCRAGCACAGGCGGACCCCGTGCCTCTCCCCAGACAGCTGGTGCCTGAAGCCCCCTCCYATCACAAGCAATGCCCCATCCCGCTCCGCTAACAAAGCGCTCCCTTTGGGAGCCAGTGGAGCCCATGGCTCTGCCCATGCCCTGCTGAGCCCCCTCACCTTGGCTGTTGTTCCACATCCTCCTGGTGCCTCCAAGCTGGAAGGGAAGGAGATGGGGAGAGGTTAATGGCCACTCTTGTAGCCCAAGCCAGACCCTTTGGCTCTCCTTGCTCCCACACCCTCTTCAAGAACATGGCCTGGGCACCATGGGCCTCTTGCCTTGAACACCTTCACCGGCCCGTGTGCCATGGTAAAGGCACACCACGTGCTGCACTGCWGCCCAAAGGTGGAACATGGCTCTTTTAGCTGCGCTTCGGTCTTCAGACTTGGCTGTACCAATTGCCACTAACCTCAGCCCATCTGGGCACTGACTCAGCCCTGAATTCATCATCCTTGGATCTAGGTGGCCCCAACTGTGCAAACAGCTCTGATGGGTAGCCCCGAGGTACCCCATGGTATTGCTGGTCCTGGCTCCCTGGGGACATGTCCCTTCCACAGGGTACATCCTATTGCAAGTATGCCATGGTGCTCTGAGCAGCCAGGACCTGGCTCATCTGCCCCAAATGATAGATACTTGCTTTGATTTTGAGCACAAACTACAATATTCGCCTCCCTAGGTTTGCACTCCACCACTGATCCTCACAGCTGCCCTGTCCCTCTTGCTCCCCCAGCAACAACTACCCTTCTTCAGTGCACCCAGCAAAGCCTGGGCGGGCGGYATCAACACAAGGCGTGTTAAAGGAAAGAATAAACCCTCCCAGGTGCAAAGCACACCCTCCCAGCAAGCTGGTGTGCTTAGCCCCTGGCTGTCCAGCTGCAGGATCAGCAGCCCTGGCCCACGGACACCTGTGCTYCTGCTGCCCCTGCATCTGCCGTGCACTGCTGCTCCGGGAGACGCTTTTACCTACATTTTAGAAAACTGACCCAGGACAGGCAATTGCAGCAAGCCACTGCGTTCAGGTGCTGAGCCAGGGGCTGTCCCCAGCCTGCCTCGGCTCAGGGTCTGCTGGGCACAGCAGGGTCCTAGTGGTGAGTCCTTCCCCCCCACCGCATGGCTATATGGATATCTTCAGCAATGCACAGACTCCCCCCAACACACACACATGCAATGCAGTTGTCAGTCCCATTTGCCATAAATGCAAAAATCTCAAACCTCCGCTTTGTGGGACGAACCGCAACCTCTGCCAGCAGCAGCCCTGTTGTCCTGGCACAGCTCTCCCTGGGCTGGTAGGACCAGCCCTCTGGCACCCTTTAAATAGGTGGACACTCCTCGGGGCAGGGCTAAAGCCCTAATGCCCTGAAACTGGCTTTACCGCTGCACTGGCAGTCACCTTGGACATGCAGGGGAATGCAAACACACCGCACCCAGCCCGGGCTCAAAGGTCTGCCAGGCCTGATAAAAACCCAGTGGTGGTTTGAGGCACTCGGCGTCAGCTGATGGGGTGAGTCAGGCGTCCCTGCCATGAACCTGGTCCTTGTGCCAAGCACCCACACAGGACCCCAGGAGGGGAACGATGTGGGAAGGGTGGAGCCCCCTGGCATTGGGGTTTAGCCAAATGTCCCTGTGTCAAGGTGAGAGCTGAAAGTGGTGCCGTTGACCCCCAGGAAGCTCTGTCCAGACATCCCGACATTTCAGTCTGGCTCCAGGGGAGAAAATGCCCTGGAGTTGGGACAGCCCTTGCACAGACAGCTCAGTGCCTGCTGGTGGATGCCTCTGCTCTTCCTGACAGAGAAAGGATGGCTGGAGGTGGCAAGAGGTCACACTCAAGGTGCTGCAATGATGTGAGGGAGTGAATATCTGCCATTAGATCTAGGGATGTAGGTGGCTCTTGTCCGTGGGGGCAGATGGAGACATGAGGGAAGAGTCAAGTACCTGACGCTTATCTTGTTTTCCTCAGGCTGGTGGGGCAGAGCTTCTCCCCGTGCTGTCYGTGATCCCATTTACACACCCCTGTGCTGCCCTGTGTTTGGTACCACGCCTTTCCCCACGCCAATGAGCAATGCAAACATGCTTGTTATGCACAATGAAAAAAGACACCTTGCAGCAAGTGACTCATGGGGAGGATATTCCCCAGCCCTGGAGGCAGAGRGGGGGGGCCGTCACGGGATGCTTTCTGAGCACAGAAACATTTGGGTTGTGTGTGAGGTCAGGACATGCCCATGCACAGGGTTTTCCTATCTCAGCCATGCCCTCCAATCTGTGCTTCGTGAGTACTTCCAGGTGGTGCTGGCCACCCTAGCCCTGCATAGCTGGGCTGGAGCGGGCTGGAGAGACCTCAGCATTGCCTGCTGCACCCAACCTGGCACGGACACGCWTGGGGATGGTGCCAGAACAGAGCAGCTCTCTCAAAGTGGGTGCCAAAGAAGCTCAAGCAGGGACATACAGCATGTTTCCTGGCTGTATTTGCCACCCTGGAGCTCCACAGCCCAGCCCTGAGGTCCTCTCATGCCGATCGCCTCTCCAGCAGCGCCAGCACAAGCTCCAAGTTCTGCTTTGCCTCGTCCAGGAGCCTGGAGACCTTCTGGGACATCTGCAGGAGGAAGGAGGAAGTTAATCATTTACGACATGGAAGGACGCAGAAGTAAGTCACTCGTTGTCTTTGCTGCTTGGCCTTGCCATGCACAGCCCAGCACAAACCTTGCTCACAGTGGAGACCAGGCGTGCTGGATGTTTGGGCCACCCAGCCCTGGCACAAAGGGATCTCAGGGACCTCCTCTGCTTGTCTGTCTCACCTTGTCCTGGCCATGGGGCCCCCATGCACTGCTGGCACCAGGGCACGAGGGAGCCCCCGCTTACCATTTGCTTGAACTGCTCATCTGTTATGTCTTTGAGATTGATCATGACATTGCAGTAGGCCCCAAACACACCAGCTTCCAGCATCTTGGCTCCCACCTATGAGAAAAAGGTCTTTGAAAAGCAATTTCAATAGCCTAGTTAGTGAAATAGAGCAGTATTTTCATGTCCTGCATTGGGTCAGATCCTTTTCCTCTAAGTTGCCTCCAGGTTTCTGATCTCAGTGACTCAATGCTCACTGCAGCATGCAGGCCTGGCCTGCTACAGGGAACRGTGTTTTCCAACCCCTTTTTTTTTGGCATATATCTTGGACAATGAGAACTGCAGCTTTGCTGCAGAGGTGGGGAGATGGAGCCAAGAAGTCCTAAACAGACTGCAAGCTGCCAGAAAGTTAACGGACTAAAACAACTGTCTGGTTCAAAAAGCAGGACTTAAAAGCTGGCTGGTCTGCCCCGCCAGCCGAGCCCCTCAGCAGCAGGAAACCTTTCAGGGAAAGCCAACAGGCGGGGCAGCCTCCGAAGGCGCAGTCAGGACGGGGTGCAGCGCGCGGTGGCCGGAGCAGCTCCTGAGCGCGGCGCAGTACCTGGATGTCAGATTTGCAGGCCAGGTTGCAGTGGCGCGCCATCTCCTGCAGCGCGGGCCAGAGCCCGCTCACCTTCTCCGCCAGGCCGCAGGGCACCTCCACGGCTGTCTTCAGCGCCCACTGCATGGCGGCCGCGCGCCTGGCGAGACGGGACGGCCCCGGCATGAGCGCCAGGACGAGCGCGCGCTGCCCCGGGTAGCTCTCTTCCTGCCCCATAGGAGCCCCTGCCCCCGTGCCAGCCTGCAGTGTGGTTGTGCCATGAGCCACGTCCTCCCTGAAGCCTGCCCAGCTCACCTCACCTTCTCGTCGGGGGTATTTTTTGGCAGCTTCATAGCTTCCTGGAGGAAGAGATAAAGAGCTTTGGTCAACCAGGGCCTGAGACCCCCCTGTGCCTCACATCAGGTGCTGTTGTACACCTCTTTGCTTCCAAACTCTGGAACTCTTYCAAACTCTTTACCCGATGTGGTGTTTCTTGTTATAGACTGCCTTGGGTTGCCAGTCCAGCAGACTCTTTCTGAGCAGAGATTTTCCCATGCCCAGATGCTTCTCTGGAAAAAGGGGAGCGCTCCAAGGATGGGGGAGCCCTTTTTCACCCACTCGCTGGGTACACCAGGTGCACATGCTCCAACAGCCAATTCCTGAGGTCGTGTTTACAGCTCTGCTCCCATGGGTCCCAGGGGAAGGATGCAATGCCATCACCCTGTTTCCAGCTGGAAAACCACCCCAATCCCTGTCATATGCCTGGTGGCAGCAGGATCTCACCATGTAGCTGCTGAAGGCACGGGAATCAGCATCCACCATGGCCACCAGCTCATCCATGGCTTGGTGGAAGGGAGGTATCAGCTTCCTCATGACAGCGTCCAGCTCCTCAAACTGCCGTTTCCCGTAGCTCATGAGCCCCACCATGCAGCCCAGYGCCGCTCCCTGCAAGGACGGGGCGCTAAGTCCTCCGGTGGGAGTCACCGCAGGAGTCAAAGCCCCGCTCTGCCACCACGCCAGCTCCCCTCCAAGCTTGCCAAGAAGCCATCCACAGGAGCACCCAGGTAGGCAGGGTCACGCCACCCACCCCAGAGCGGGGACACCTACCAGCGCAGACACGGCTGCAGACACGGAGCCTCCTCCCGGCGCTGCCGACCTCTCGCCAACCGCTCGCACGAAGGCGCCCAGCRGCTTGGCCACCAGACCCCTGTCCGCTTCTCCTGCCTGCACCAGGTACCTGCGGCACAGGAGCACTGCAGGTTAGAGCCACCACACCAGCAACCAGTCCCTCATGCATGGGGACACCAGCCAGCACTACCCATCCCTTCTCCCAAGGAGGAGACACGCGGGTTCATCTCCATGCCTCTACAGCATTCAGCGGGATGGGGCCATAGAAGAGCCCAAAGATGGCAGGGATGCAAGCACTGATCCCAAAATTAGCTCAATAAAAAAAAAAAAAATCGCAGAGCATGGGGTTCTCTGATCCAGGCAGACACCAAACAGAATCAAGAAACGCAAAAAAAGGGAGAGTCCCTACTCAATGATGCGCTCCCGGGGGTTAAACGGAGACAGGGAATCCAGGCCCAGGCGGCTGACCACCTGCAAGAAGCAGCACAAGCCACATCAGTCCATGGGTAGGTGCAACACGTGCACACGCAGGGCCTGGCAGCGCTACCAGGCACGAACCAACCCGTGCCCGCCTGTGCACCCGTGCCTCTTACTCCAGTTATACTCACTTCTTTAACTAAGCACAAGATCCTTGACCCCTAGGAGGCAACTCAATGGGTTACCACCCAGGGGAGAGGGAGGAAGAGCTGGGCCAATAAGCTTGAACTTCTCGAGCCACCTACGCTGTGTCGCTAGGGCTGAGTTTCCCATCCAAGCGCTGGGGCATGCTTACAGGCGCCTGAGAGCAAACACAAACTGCCCTGATAAATAATTACCTTGCTCTTATCTAGCGTGTTCCTCATAGGGTGAAAAAAATCCCTCCCCGTTCCCTTCCCTTCCGGAACTGAAAACTGGTGCCTGCCATCTTTTTATTTTCATCTTGCACAGGTCTTGGGATGTTTTTTGTGATGGCAAACACTGTCCTCCAGCTTTCATTCCCTGCTTCCACACAAGCATGCTGAGATGCTGCAGCCTGCACTCTGCCCTCACAGAATGTTTTATTTTTATTCCCTTGAGCATCTCAACTTCTATGGGCCGTGACAATAAATCATTTTGCCTTGCACTCTGTAATCTTGCCAGGCCATTCCCAGGGGCAGGTATCATCCCTCAAGCCAAATGCCACAAGGGCATGCAACCTGCATGGGGGCTGACCTGGTCTCCAGTCTGCAAAGAGTGACAGGGGGAGGGTTGGGGATGGTGGTGGAGGGTCTTCCTTGTGATCTCACCCCTGTCTTGATGCTGAAAGAGCCACGTTACCAGCCTTATCTTGTGTTCCTCCTCCAGGATGAAAAGTTTATCCCTCTTGATGTAAAACTCAGCTGCATCCAGCATGGCCTTCTTGGGGATAAGTCCCACCAGTTGGGACCCCACCACAGGGAGCTTCAGAGCCTGCAAAAGACAGCAGAAGTGTGACCCCCCTTCCAGAGCCACTTGCCATGCCTCTGCTACCACTCTTGCATCCTGGATTGATGGTCGCTTTCCTGGGATCCAAGGGATACACAGAAATGCCTTYGATACATCCCCCGCCTTGCAGAGGTGAGCCTGGAGCTGGAAATTAGAAGCTAATGATGAAGTGTTTGGGATTTGCTGTTGCTTGGGTCTCTGCCTGGCTTTTCTGAGTTGAGAGTGTGAAAAAATAGACCCAGACCATGGCCCCTGTCCAAAAGTTCACAGGGATAACCTGCAGGGATAACCTGCAAGGTGGGATCTGCAAGGCACACAGCTGATAAAAGCATCAGGTGCCACCCCGTGCCTCTCACCTCTGCGTCTCGGCAGACCTCCTCATAGACTTCATGGAGCGGTGTGGTCTCAAAGTCCAGGAGGTTTGTGGAAACCTGGGCTATGTTCTCTTCCTCCAAATACCAGCCAATGCCCTGGACCTTCTTCAGGCGCCCCGGCTGCGAAGAGCTGCTGTGGTCAAGGCAGGCGGTGCCCAGCCRAGCCCCGGGATGCGTTGCGGGGAGCAGGGCCGTGGCCAGTGCGAGGCCAGCGCCCGGGTACCTGCTCGGCGCCGCGGCCCTGCTCCCGCACATTGAGGGCGATGCGGTGAGCCTGCTCCTTGGTGCAGAGCAGGTTGATGTTGTAGGCRATGAGGAAGGTCCGGGCCCCTGTCACTGTGGCCCCCCACCGGGGCACAAAGGTGGCGGGTCCAAAATCAGGAGCCCACTCTGGTTTCGCAAGCTGTGGGAGGGAGGCAGAGAGGGAGGCAGAAAGCAGGTTTTCTAGCAGGGGCAAATGCACGAGTGAGCTGCTGGGGTGTCCATGGACCTCCTTCCCCAGCCCATGCCTGCAACAACCCCTTCCACCTTGGCAGCTTCTAGAGCATTTCACTGGCTTCTCTCAGCCTGGTCTTCCCTAGTGAGGCTCCTCTCCTCGCTGAGGGCTGGGAGATGCTGCTCGGCTTGGCCCGTTAGTCAGGACGTCCTGTGCCCGCTCACCTTCTTGGGGAGCGCCTCGTACTCCCCGGCGCGGATGGACGGCAAGGATTTCCTGCTCTCCTCGCGCGCTGCTTCTCCATACAGATAAACTGCAAGGGAGAGCAGGGAATGACRGATGGGAGTAGGGGCTGTTGCATATCATCTACTAGGAATCACTGGTCTATTTTTGCCCATTTGTGGCCAAAAGGTATTTTTTACCCTATTAGAATAAGAGCRTCTTCTTCTGTATAGGAGAGCATTGGTGCAGATGGAGGCAGAGCCTCGGGCATCCAGCACTTCCCACACTCACCAGGCACCCCCAGCTCCGTTGACAAGCGCTGCCCAAAGCTGCAGGCACAGGCAATGCACTCCTCCATGCTCACGTTCCTCACGGGCACAAAGGGGCACACGTCCAGGGCCCCCATGCGAGGGTGTTCGCCTGGGGACAGGACCAGGCGTTAGAAGGAAGGGAGCAGGTAAGAGCAAGCAGGACAAGGAGGGATGAAGGCCCTTTCCCAGCATCTTTCGGAGACAGCTCACAGCCAGCCTGCCACAAAGCATTTCCACTGCAAGGAAAGCTGTGTCTGAGGCACTAATGTGTAGCCCAGCCCAGTAAAAGGTGCTTTCAGGCTCTTTGCAAGATGAGCAGAAGCTTTGTGTGGTTCAGCCAGCATCCATCCTGGCTGTGCTGCTTGCCATAGATGCAGAAATGTGCCATAGATGCAGAAATGGGCCATACGTGGCTGCTGGCAATGCTTTGCTATTGGTTTTTAGCCTCTGTGAGGACAAGGGAGGTTTTGAGCTGGTGGGACCCGCGAGCCAGGGCAAGCTCCAGGCAGTCCAGGAGCCATCCCCACATGCTGGAGCCAACACGGAGGCTTGCCCATGGAATGGCTCGCACACCAAGGGATGCTTGGCATGGGGAAGGGTCCCACGCCAAAGACTGCTCTGTGTGGGGACAGTTCCCATGGCTCTCCYGAGCTCACCCTTGTGCTGGCTCATGTCGATGAGCTGTCCAGCCACTCGGGCTGCACTCAGCGCCCCTTCGACGACAGCCTCTGGGGTCCCCACAAAGGTGTAGACCGTGCGGTTGGTGGAGGGCCCGGCATCCACGTCCAGCAGCACGCAGCCGGGTGTCCGGGAGATGGCTTGTCCCAGCGCCTCGATCACCTGCGGGAGCAGAGACAGGCAGGGCGGAGGGGCAGTGGAGCCGGCGGGGCGCCCGTCTCGGCCACGGCAGCTGTGTAACGTGGAGGAGCCTCTTGGGGCTTGGGGACCATCATCAAGGAGGAGGTTGCATGCTGGCAGGTACAAGCCTGTGCCACTGAGAAGCAGGACTGTAGTGCATGAGCATCCTGCATCCAAAGTGGGGCACAGGGATCCCTGCAAGCTGCAGCCCTGAGCAGAGGAGGGAGAGTTGATCCGGTGCCATCTCCGTGCTGGAGAGGTCTGTCACACACTGCGCCTCCTGAGGACGCTGTCCCCTGCCGGCTTCAAAACTGATCTGCTCTGCAAAGCCCATTTCCTAGGGGAAACAGGGCTTTTAGCRTGGCCTTCGTGTCAGCTGCCGGGAAGGGCCGAAGTTCAGCCTGAGGCAGACACCCAGCATGGCATTTTAACCACAATGTTTGACAAAACAAAGGAAAGGGAGCTTTCCAAATGAGATATTCCAAGCCACCTCCTCGAGAGTCCCAGCTCTCAGGCAACCTAAAGGCAGCAGAAAGGAGCAGGACTCCAACCACTCTCCCCCTGCAACCCCGATTTGTCATAGAGGTGCAAAACAATGATCATGGACAGCTCTGGGGCACTCTCAGCTTCAGCCATGCCCAGAAAGGCGCACAGTCCTGGCACGAGAGGCAGGAAAGAGCCTGGCCATGGGCACTGCCTGCASAGCCCGTCCCTGGCCATGTGCCCAGCCAGGGTGCCCAGGCAAACCAGAGCCCTGGGGCACCAGCAGTGCCGAGCAAGCTCCCTTTGGGACCAGAGAGGCTCCTCCAAAATGCTGCAAGGTGTCCCCTGAGGCCTCTGGCCGTCGCGGGCTTGCTTTTGTCCCTAGGAAACAACATGAACTTTTTCTGACTTGACTTTCRGGGGATTTCAGCTAGCAGAAAAGGGGCCAAATGTCGACAAGAGAAGAAAACTAGCTGAGCTACAAATTCTAAGGAATAAAGTGCTCCAGAAGTTCGCCCTAAGCTATCACTCTGCCCTGTGCAGACACATCTGATGCAGAGCCCCGACCTGCGAACAACTGAGCCCCCTGCACCCACAGTGCCTCCCACCCCCTCGCCTGCTCCATGCGGCTCCCTTACCTCTYTGTTGTTCCCCTCGGAAAAATTGGGGACACACTCCACCAGCTTGGCCATGGCGCTGGCGTCTGCCTGTGCCACCACRGGGCCCTTTGAGCTGTGCCTGACCTGTCCTTTCCAGGGCCACGGGCACCCAAAAGCCTTTCTAGTATCCAATCCGTTATCTTTTCCTGGAGCTGGGGTTTCTCATTAACTGTGCTGATCCAAAGCCAAAAAAAAAAAAAAAAGAAAGGGTCTTGGTTAAACAGAAGGGCAATGACTTTGGGCAGAAAAGTCCTTCCAGGCTTGATGTGACRGTAGGCAATGTATCCCATGGGTGACATGTGGGTGCCAGGGCTGGCACCAGAGGCAGTGCTCACCAGTAATCGCTAATCGCTGCCCACTAATCGCAGGAGCTGCTGCTACCTAGAGGAAAGCAGCTGCCTGGTATGGTGTCCAGCCCCAGTATTCCCTTGTGGCTACCGCCATCCACATCAGCAAAGACGTAGGATGACCCTAGTGTCCTTGGAGGATGGGGACAGCAGAGAGGCCTGGCTGCGGCAAAGGCAGGGAAGGTCCTCATGGACTTTCAGGTCCTATTCTGACCCTGGTGGCTGAAGTCTTGGCTCTCCTGGGGCCCTGCTATGGTGGCCAGGCAGCAGCAGGGCACAGGGTGCTGAAAAGSAGGGCTCGTCCGGGAGTTGAACCCGGGAACCTCTCACACCCAAAGCGAGAGTCATACCCCTAGACCAACGAGCCATGGGAGTGGAAAAGGAACCCCACCAAGCTCAGCTCCCACATTTCACAGTCCTGCACAAGAAATGGGGCCCTGAGCTGCTGGGGGACAGGTCTCATCTGGTGTTTGGTTCTCCTTTCGTTCCCTCTCCCTCTGCTCTCAGAGGGGAGAAAAAAAAAAAAAAAAAAAAAAAAAAAAAAAAAAAACAAGACAGGAGATATGCCAAGGAACGGAGGTATGCCAAGGAACTTGGGGGGACTCTCCATATGCCGCACTTGCAGCATCCCCAGCTCTCCGCTCCCTCAGGATCTGCACACCCACCTGCAGGATGCTGCAACAGGGCCCCACACTTTCCCTGTGCAAGGGAGACTACCTCTGCAGCCCAGGGTGCYAGCTGGGAACCCCAACACAAGCCCTGGACCCCCCAAAGTAAAACCTCTCGCTGTGAGCAGGATTCGAACCTGCGCAGGGAAACCCCTATTGGATTTCGAGTCCAACGCCTTCACCCCTCGGCCATCACAGCCCTGGGAATGGTAGTGGTTTGGTGCATGCAGACGTGTCCCTGCCCTTGGGCATCTATGTTGTCCTGGTGAGCATCCTGCCCTGGCCTCTCATAGCCACTCTAACTCTGATGAAATGGGAAAGTGTCCTGGCTGTCTGCTGCTGMTCCCTCTACASACACATCTGGATATCATTCTGCTTCCCTGAACTAGGAGTGGGGACCTCACCTCCCAAAAAAAATCAGTGAGATGCAAAGGGAACATCATCACTGCCCTCCCTCAGCAGCCCAAAAATCCGGGACACGTCCACGGGATGTGCAGAGGCATGTGGCACCTTGGCTCGTTGGTCTAGGGGTATGATTCTCGCTTAGGGTGCGAGAGGTCCCGGGTTCAAATCCGGGACGAGCCCATTTTTGGACACCTACCTGTGCAGGCCATGCATGAACACAGGGTGCAGTGATGCCTCATGCACTGGCCATGGGCAGCGTGGCTGCCTTGGTCCTGGCCCAAAACCCCCATCCCGCAGGAGAGCCGGGAGCGATGGGGCCCTCCTGTGCCTGCATGGCAGAGGCAGAGCCTGGCGGGAGTCCGCCCAGTCCTGCAGTCACTTGACTGACAAAGCTCAGAGCTGCTGAGGCAGCCCCAGCGTCTGCACCCAGGGCCAGCTGGTCCCAGGGGAGGGGAAAAGAAGAACAACTAGAAGGTTTTTTATGGGAACTGGGGAGAAACCTCCCATCCCAGGAGAGGGATCATTCTCTAGACAGCTGAGGGAAATCTCCTCCTCGGGAACTGTGCAGTGAAAGAAAGGAGCCTTGTGTAGAAAAGTGTGTGGAGATGCTGGGGCTTGAACCCAGGGCCTCTTACATGCAAAGCAAGCGCTCTCCCACTGAGCTACATCCCCCTGCCCCGGGGCTGCCGCTGCCCACGCGGCGCCGCTGCCCGCCCCTCGCGCGGCCCCCGAGCCCCCGCTGCCGCTGGGGAGCCGCGTGCGGTGCCGCGCGCGGGGGCAGGCGCTGGGGCGCCGGCTGCGCGGGAGAAGGCAGCAGCTCCGGCCGGCGCTGGCACTGGCGCTGGCGCTGGGGCTGTGCCGGCCGCGCAGCAGCGCTGGGCGCCCGCCAGGCCAGGCCGGGCTGTGSAGAGCATGGCGCGCGGCGGCTCGTTGGTCTAGGGGTATGATTCTCGCTTAGGGTGCGAGAGGTCCCGGGTTCAACTCCCGGACGAGCCCACGTTTTGGGCATCGTGGGTGCCTCTTCATCCCAGAGCTTCTCTGGGTCCTCTCCTTTGGCTTTCTCCGCTCGTGTTGCCCCGTGGTTGAGTGGAGCTGCTGCTTGTCTGAGATCCCAGCAGGGCCACCGCGTGGGGACCTGCCAGCTGCCTTGTGCTGCAGCCCCACAAGGTGGCCCTGGCCACCAGCTGCAGGTGACCTCTGGGTGCCTGTGCACCTGAGAGCACTGGGATCACTGCAGACGGCATCCGCAAACYGGCACCAGCCTTGGAGGGGAAATGCCTCTTGGTGCACCCCTGGCATCTGGGCGGGTGCCACAAAGCAGGTGCCGTGTCCCCAGCCCTGCAGGTGTTGGGGCAGCAGGAGGTGTGTGGTGGCAGCGGGTGCAACGAGCAGCAGAGCAGGGGGATGTAGCTCAGTGGGAGAGCGCTTGCTTCGCATGTAAGAGGCCCTGGGTTCAAACCCCAGCATCTCCATACACTTTTCGTCCTGAAAGCTCTCCAKCCCAGTGTCTGGGATCCCAGTGACCTCATTTATGGTCCCAAAGAAAGTCCTTTTCTCCCAGGAATGGATGGGATTGGCTTTCTTCTCAGAGCCTTCCAGGTGTGGAGAAATCCCCCAAACTGTTTAATTTTCCTTTCTCCCAAGAGCTGCACATGGTGAAATACCTGCATGGAGAGRTGTTCCTGTGTGGCATGGAGCACCACATCGCTCTCACCGGGACCAGACCTGGCAGCAGCATGGTCCAACAAGCTGGCTGTGCCCATTGCCTTGGACACCACTGGCCCTGGTGCTGGTCATGGCCTCGGACAGGGTCTCATGCACCAGCCAGGCAAACATGGTCCTATTTCGGCCCAAAAGGAGGGCTCGTCCGGGAGTTGAACCCGGGACCTCTCGCACCCAAAGCGAGAATCATACCCCTAGACCAACGAGCCAGGATGGCACAGTGAGGGCCAGCTGCAGCACCCCATGGCTCTAGGGATGATGTGGGATTATGGCCAACATCACGAGCTGGTGGTGCCATGCATGCTCAGCCCTCTAGCAGGAGTGCTTGTAGGTAAACCCATAGCAAGGCCCAAGACTGTGAGTCGTGTATGTCCACAAACAGGTTAGGTCCTCACCATCCCTCTGTGGCCCCTGTCCCTCATCACATCCCCTCAAAAAGTCAATTTCAAATGGTCCCAGAAATGATGGCCTAGTGCCACTGCAATGCAGTGGATGCTGCAAAACCCCAGTGGCCCGTCTGCCTTGGGGCTGCTCCAGGAGCAAAGGGTCCCAGCCAGGATCTGCCTGTCCCCGGGTGGGAGCAGCTGTCCAGGTGCAAAGGGTAGGACCGGGGCTGCCTTGATCYCCGTTCCCGTTCTCCAACCTTGGCATTCCCTGAGGAATAACCCAAAGTCCCARCTGGAGCCCCTCAGCATGGGCCCTGGACCCTCTCCAGTAAAACCTCTCGCTGTGAGCAGGATTCGAACCTGCGCAGGGAAACCCCTATTGGATTTCGAGTCCAACGCCTTCACCCCTCGGCCATCACAGCCCTGGGCGGCAGCACCTTGGGGTGCATGGGACCCTGCCCATGGGCACCCCTCGGTCCCAGGGCTCGGTGCAGAGCAGCTGGGCTATGGTCCTGCAGCAGCACAGCTCCCCGCACTGCACAGGCACATCCCCCTTGCCCTGGGGAATGTGTCCAGAAAGAAAACCCCTGACTTGCGCCAGAGACATCCGGCCTGTTCTGGAGTCCCCTGAGCAGCTTTATGGTCACTCAACTGCTCCTGGTGGGTGGGAAAAGAGACCAGAAGGATTTCCTGGCCACCCAGGGGAGATCTCAGGATCCCAGAGAGAGCCCAGTCTCTAAGAGAGAAGAGGAAAATCTCTTTCCTGGTAGGAAGGGGAGAGCTGCTCTCCAAGAGCCCAGCAGCTTTTGTCAGTGCAGCTGGGGAAGATGGTGTTCCAGAAGAAAAGACACATGGAGATGCTGGGGCTTGAACCCAGGGCCTCKTACATGCGAAGCAAGCGCTCTCCCACTGAGCTACATCCCCCYGCCTTGATTTWSCATGTGCCCATGGTGACCACAGCCACCCCTCACCTCTGGSTATTCCAACATCTGCCAGGGTTAGGGAACATGGGATCTGCTTTCTGGACAGGGGCAGCCCAGGGGCAGCAAGAGGGGTCTCCCTGCTCCGGGTGAATGGCTGAGGCAGGATGCAGCATGGCCAGCCATGCTGGGCACCTCCTGAGACTGGCGGCACTGGTGGCATGAGCTGATCTGGACTCTCTTGCATTTCAAGAAGAGATGTTGGGTGCAGGAGGAACCCTATGGTCATGAGCCTAGCCATGCTATCTGCAGGCAGCCATAGGATGCTGGTGTCAGAGGGCCTTCCCCRAGCCAAGGAGAGGCGTTTACCCCAAAATATTGATGCCAGCCTGTGGATGCCRTTGGCATGGAGGGCCAAAAGGAGGGCTCGTCCGGGAGTTGAACCCGGGACCTCTCGCACCCGAAGCGAGAATCATACCCCTAGACCAACGAGCCGGGGTGGCTCAGYTGTGGCCGCTCCAGCACACTTCAGGCACCCCGTGGTGCCAGACAAGGCTCTGGGCACGGTGATGGTGGCGCCGGGTGGGCACAGGGGACATGGGCTCCGTTTCTCTGGGCTCAGGAGCTGACTGTGGGCTCGGTGGGGCTGCTCTGTCAGCAGCTCCCGGTCTCTGGGGTAGCCGATATTCAGCTCTGGGGCAGCTCTAGGGCTGCCTGTACCTGTGCAGGGCAGCAAGCCCAGCTGCTGTGGGCCATGGCCCAGCAGAGAGCCCCAGCTTGTGGCTCCCCGACGATGCTAGAATAGTGCAGCAGCCTGGAAAACAGAATTACCAGAGTTAATTTTTGCATGGTCTGCCTGCAGCAAGACTGGAATGTGAGGATCTCATTTTCCCCCCAGGAAACAGCCGCAGCAATTGCCCTAGCCAAGTGCTGTAATGCCTGCAAGGGGCAGGAAGGGGTTAATAATACCTCCTTCCAGGCTGCACCAGAATAACAGTCCTTTCCCCAGGCCACATGAGGATGGCTGCCAGCCGGGCSCAGGGAGGAAGGCCTGGCTGTGGACAGTGCTTATTTGCCTCTTGTGGTTGCAAGTCATAAGGTAGAGTTGGCAGGGAGGGTATTGCACCCTTGTGCTTTCCCTGCTGCAAGAGTCCCTGCAGCTGTCTGGCTTCGTCCAGGCTACGTGATGATCTCTAGCAACAGCAGATAATAAGCAGCTTATCCTCCTCTGCATTAGGAAATCTGCAGGTACCTAACACTTAGCAAATGTGATTTTTTTTTTTTCATCCTTGGAATATTTTAACTTCTGTTGAARATAAAACTCCATCAGGTCCCTGTTTTTCAATAACAGCACCTTGTCAAGCCTTAGGATCTAAGCGATGTTGTCTTTGCGCTCAGCCTTGTCTCTGCAGCAGCAGCACCTTCCCCTGGGGCTGCTCTCGTGGGGAGCACACACTCGGAGGCACGAGGATGTTAGGGGCCTGTGAGGGAGCAGTGTCTGGAGGGGAGCGAGTCCCRGGCTGAGCTGCAGCCCTGGCAGAGCGAGCAGGGTTGCAGGAGCCCGAACACCGCTCCCATGGGCAGCACCTGGAGGGCTAGACCGGGACGCCAGCGCCTTTTGATTTGTGTTCTTCTTTCCAGGTGACTCACACAGTGCGGAGACCTGTTATTTTCCTGCTTTATGGGATTTTCAACCCCGGAAAAAATAAAACAGAGCATCCAGCCAGGAGTCCCCTGGGGTGCTGGAGTCATTGCCTGTCTGGCTTGCTGGGCTTGGCACCGGAGCCTTGCACAGGGGACAGGGCGCCTGGCGAAAACACCGCAAGCCCCTGCCCTGTAGTTAATCTGTGGGTGCAGCAGCCGGTGCCCCAAGCCAAGATGTTGTCCTGATAGAGCCTTCTCCTCTCTGTTATCCCTGCTTTGCAACCTTTCCCTCTCTTCCTCCTAAAGCACAAGAGCAAATGCTCTTTCTCTTGTGGGAAATTGCATTGCGAGGCTCTGTGTAAAACCTCACAGAAAAGAAGGGAGTTTGAGGGTAGGGTAAAAAAAACAATCATTCCCTCATGCCTGTGCTCTGTCGTGGTTGGCTCCACAGACATATATCCCAACGTGCTCCGACCTTGCTGTGGTGAGCAAGACAAGGGACACAGCCCTCGTGTCCCTGGCCTTGTCCACAGCTTGATGCCAGCATGCTGGAGCAGGGTGCACTTTTTCCTACCCTGTAGGTGCTGGCAGTGGATCTGCCTCTTGCTCCTGTCCCACTGAGACACTGGGGTTCTCGTCTCCTAATCCGTGCGTGCAGGGAAGCTGTACGTAGGTGTTCTGGGCTCTTGCTCACCAGCCAATCCAGCCGCCATCAGTCCCTCCATCCATATATCCTGTCCCATTCTGCTGGGGGCTTGCACACCCAACAGTCCTATTTGTACTCATCCTCACTTTTCTGTGACATTTCTCTATTTTTCTGTTAAAAAAAAATTAATTCCAACCCAAACCATGACTTCATCTCTCCTCGTCTCCCTCTCCCCCATCCTCAGAAGGGCAATGCAACCCAGCGCTCACCACTGCATGCACCTGGAGCTGTGGGCTCACTGGTACCTGGCTGTGTGCAGRAGATGGCTACTGGCCTCTTCTGATGGCTTCTCCAAGCAGAGAACCCAGGTGAGCCCATTTGCCAAGGATGGGAGGAAATGAAAGGAAACAGCTGTCTCCAAGAAGCAATGACTGCTCCAGGAGGATGTTGAGTGACAGCAGGGAAATGGTTTCCTACAAGGAAATGAGAATGTGAGGGAAGATGGGAGGTGAGTAGGAGACATGAACATCAAGAGATCCAGGCATGGCCAAAGGGTGCCATTTGAGCTCCAGTCTTCTCCGATAAATGCTTCTGTTGTTCTTGTCATTGAGCAGGCAATGCTGTGACCAAAACCCTCCATCCCTCCGTAAGCATACTTCTATCTGCTAATCTTTATTCTTCAGCCCAGCTTGGGCTATGTGTCCTCCTGCAAATGTACCCTCAGTTTTGGTCTGTTGCTCTCTATGTCTCACCAGGGCCTTCTGCTCCACAGTCTTTGAGAAACCTGTATTTTAGGACCTGATTAATAAGTCTACAGGGTCCTGCCCAGGGCAAATATTGGCTAGGAGGCATATGTGGCAGGGCAAATTCAGAACAGATCTTAAACTGGGAGCCAAGATAGCAGGGAGCCACAGCACCCATGGGAGACAGGGAGCCAACATCCTCTGGGATGAAGATCCCCGCAGCACCCCAAGATTCTCTCTTCCATGGCTCTGGATGCAATAGGACATCARTTTTTTCAAGTCAAGTCAAGGATGCATGCAGGTTTTAGTCTCCTCTGGGACACTGGGTCTTCAGAGGAAAATCTGTACAAATTCACCAGCGGAGTCATTCAACAAAAAGTCACCTCAAAATGTTGTTCTTCTTCTCCCTTGCCCAATCCTGGACTGTCCCACTAAGCAAACAGTTGAAAAATGGCCTTACAAACCCCCARATAACTATGGCTTCCCAGTCAGTCCTTTGCTAGAGAACTATTGCTCTTCCACTTCGCAATGTTTGGTAGAATTTTGCTTCTCTCCTAGGACAATTTCCTAGATCTTGGATAAAAACGTTTGAGCAGCCCTTAGACTATGAATGTGAACCTACATCTCTCTTCTTCTGCTGCTCTGATTGCAAAGCAACAGCCATGTAAATTATCTCCAAATTAGGAACGCCTCTGAAGACCTGAGCAATAAAACCAGCTGAGCTTGAACATAGGCTTTTGAAGATCATCATGCTTTCAAGCTTAGCATAATCTTTCATTATAAATGCTYATAAAGTTTATGCAAAGTGTCACATTAGAAAAATAGTCGTCATATGAAAGAAGATTTAAGCTATATCTGTGGAGATCTTAATCATATCCTTATCTTCCTTCCATCAGGTGAAAAAAGTTCTTCTTGATGGTACATGCCCTCTTAAAGAGGCTTATTCAAKGCCTAGTGTCTTTTTCTCAAGACGCTTGCAGTCTCTCCCTGAAAAACAATTATTCTTCAAATTCATTTAATCTGTTCAGTCGGCTCATCCCACAGCTAGAAGTTATGCATCCTAGTTTCTGGGAAGATCTAAGGATGGAGCTCGCTTGGGTTGTGGCCAGGAATAGGCTTATATTCTGGACTGTGACAAGCTGCTGGTGTGTTTGAGACACCAGACTGCTCCTCTGAGACGTCTGTGAGCTGGCCAACCAAGGGACAACTCATTTACCTCTGAAATGTCCTCATCCTCGCATCTCTGCAGCTCATAGATGGTCCCTAACTGATCAGCTCTCCCATGGCCACTCTGCTCAAAACCCCAGCAAAGCTCACTGCTGAGATCTGGTCCAACTCTTGCTTTTGTATCTACAGCACATGGGAAAACTTATTTTTTTCCCCTTCATGTCTCTATTACTATGCTTATATACAGTTATTGCTGATGTTACCGAAGGCCTGAGTCACGGCCGTCACACCTGGTGCTTTTGAGAGGTGCCAGGCTGCTTCATCCCCTACTATTTCAAATAAAKAGCTGCTTAGCTGCAGATCTTGACAAAGTTGGGCTTCTGCTGTCTTTGTGTTCAGAGAAAGCCTGGGTAGCTGCACTGCATTTTGCATTGCTGGATACCCCTCTCCCTGCTTTCCCTGGCAAGGAGGGTGCTGCTGTGGGCACATGGTGCAGCTTAGCAGCAGAAAATTCCATTTCAGTCAGCAAAGATCCCCCTCACAGCAGGAACTTGCCTGGAGAGCAGGCTATCGCTTCAGGCTGCAGGCAAAGGAAACACCAGAAGACTCAGGCTATGATGTAGTATGTCTTTAATGAGAAGAAAAAGTAGAAAAAAAATCAGTTGAGAGTAGAAGTGCTTTTCCAGTGCTCAGAAAAGAAATGGCTAATCTCCCACTTAAGGACAAACCGATCCCTACACTGTGTTCCTCTCTCCCTATTGCCCCTGTAGCCCACGACTATCATCTTCCATCTACAGCCAGCTATAAGCATTTTAGCCCAGCCAGTAGCAAATGCTGTGCAACACCATAGGACGGGACACCTACATGGAAATACCAAGTAAAGCATAGCAAGAAAGATATTGAGAGGCACGATCATGAGTGACAGCAACTTCCCACGGCTCCATTCCTTCCAGGAGGAGCTGCAGGTGCCTCCCACGCTTTGGAAACCCACGTACACTTCCTCAGTTCTCTCCCCAGCTCTTTTGCGTGCTTCGTTTTTCCTTTCCTAGGCGGACGTTGTGCTGGCGTCGGCGGGATGCGGCGCAGYGGTGCGGAAGCCTCTACAGCCCGCCGCCCAGGCACAGCAGTCCAGCATCCCGCAGCCCCCGGGCGCCGCCGGAGGCGACGGGCACCCCGCAGCACCGCAGGTAGCTCCCGACGGCCGCCGATGCCGTGGATCCCACCGTGGTGTTCTGCGGGTAGGAGCTGAGGATGGGGCCGGGCAGGGTCACCACGACGGTGGGCGGCTGGATGATGGTCACGGAGTCGCCGCAGCGCCTGAAGCAGGGCTCGGTGCAGCTCGTGGCCAGCGGCTTGGGGCCGCAGGAGGAGGGCAGGCACAGGTCGTAGCAGGACATTGCGCAGCGAGGAGGGAAACCTGGAAGTCGGAGCAAGGTGTCAGTGCGAGGCAGAGGCTGGGCTGTCCCTGTCGAGCCCCAAGTCAGCAGCTCCGGTAATGAGAGCAGAAGAGAAGTAGCTAGAGGGTGTGTGGACAGTTCAGAAGCCCTTGAAGGGAGACTTTCCTAAAGGCAAAGAGGCAGCTTTGCCAGAAGTCATTTATCCCCCTTCCCTCGTCCTGTAACTCTCCTGCTAGACAGCAAGCAGGTTGCCTGGAGTTGAGTGTCCAAGGGTAGAAAGTAGAAACTGGAGCTGCTGAGAAATGTTTTGAGACCGGACCCTCAAAAGCCAACCCAAGCAGGTTGCCTGGAGTTGAGTGTCCAGGGATAGAAAATAGAAACTGGAGCTGCTGAGAAATGTTTTGAGACTGGACCCTCAAAAGCAGAACTGAAAGCTGGCAGTGAGCAAAATGAAGCAAAATGTTCATTAAAACACATCCATCTGTAATCAAACCCACCTAAATCAGCACGACAAGAGCGAGCTGGATATAGGCTATACCATCCCCAAATCCAAGGGATCTCTGCTGCCCTTCCTTAAAGGGAAGCACGTCGTTCCCTGTAACCTGGAAATGTGCTAAATTGCTTTTTAAAAGAAAAACAGTGAAAGATGCACCTGGCTCTCTGGTTAGAGACCCTCGCCTTAACCCTGCAAATCCGACATCCCACAGCTTCTATGCCTGGAACCCCTCATTTTGCAAAAGAAATAAYCCCTTCCCTGATGCCCTCCCCAGGCAGGAGAGAGGTAGCAAACCTTGAACTTTTTGCGGAGCTCGAGAGAGCCACGAGAGCAGCAGCCCAGCCCGGAGAAGGAGACAGAGCCCGTCCCAACTCACCCAGGTGACAGAGGAGGCTGCGTCTGGRGAAGCGAATGGCAGGACAGGCGCCGGCGCTGAGCTTTATACCCTGTCCGACCCCCAAGGGAGCAGGCGCATTCCTTCCACATGAAACTCCGGCAAACAGCAGTTTTTGCCCGGAAAGCTCCCCCCAGCTGATTAAACAGTTTCCCCTTTCATCTGGCATGTTTTGCTTCAATTTAATGCTAAGTAAGATTGAAATGATTCAAGCTGCAAGCAGTAATTATGTTGCTTCCCCAGGCCAAAGTACCTTTTAGGTCTTTTGCTACAAGGCAGGGAAGCATTCGGGCAGAATTTAGGGCAGGCGCATCCCTGSCGCGCATCTTCCCCTCCTTCCCTCCCTCTTTCCAAGCACAGCGTAAATCACCAGGGAATTCAGCTCTCGAGCATAAGGTCAGCTCGTGAGCTCAGGGATTGAGGCGGAACACAAGAAAGCTGCATCCCAAAGACACAAGCCCTAAGAAAAACAGCCAGGTTCCTGCACTGTGTCAGTCATAAATGCCWAGAAAATCAGGAAAGACGCAAAGAGCAGTGAAGAACTGTGCCAGAGACAGTGGAAAAAAATGCCAAAGAGAGGCACCAAAAACAAATAGATGGCAATGAGGGTACTGAGCACGTTTCCAGACAAGCAGAGCCCTGAACACTCCTTCTCCACTGCAAGGTGCCCACATAGCAAGGACACAGACAAAATGCTGTTAAGCCATCCTGGCACAATCAAACTCTTTCATTTTTGGACCTGCTCTCCATATCCTTAAGGGATGTCATTTTTCTTTTTCCTATTATTATTATTCCTCACATCCATGGTACAAATTCTGCTTGGAAGGTATATAATATTTTAAACAGAAACTGATCAAAGGTTTTAAAATAGATGCTACAGCCCATTCCTGAAGGTGATGCACACCTAAACTGATTTATTTTGCTCACTAAGCCCATTCGGAGGCCAAAAGCCTTTCCATCTTGCTCTATGAATAGACTAAGAAGCTAGAGGCTCACAGCTATTTTTTGCCATGATGAAGTGACATAGACAAGACATTTTAATTACAGGTTGCCATGTGACCCCAGATTGCTCTGCTAAAACCCTGTTAGCTGCCCAGCTGCTGAGGAGACACAAAAGTCCCAAGCTGCACTTAAATGTGAGTCACCTACGTGGTGGGTGAATTGGTACCAAGCAAGCAAGCGAGTCATCAGGCTGTAGGGCCAAGGAAAGGCTGAAGAAGGCTTTTCATTTAATGCTATCAGAGACCAGATGAAAGCATCAATATCTCCCACCCTGGAATAAATCAGGGCAGGACTAGGGGGGATGCATGTAATGCGTGTGTRGAGCCAGGTATTTCCAGCATCGCTGCTGAACATGCGCCTTGTAGGGCTTTGCAGGGTCACCCGAGTCACTAAGGTGATGTGGTCCTGTCCRCCCAATATTTGTAGCCTTGAATTGTCCCTAGTGACTGTCTGCCTGAGGAGAGGAAAAAAAAAAGAAAGAAAAAAAGAGGAGAGAGAGAGAGAGAGAGAGAGAGAGAAAGAGAGGAGAGAGAGAGAAAGAGAGGAAGGAGAGGAGAGAGAGAGAGAGAGAGAGAGAGAGAGAGAGAGAGGGAGGAGAGAGAGAGGAGAGAGAGAAAGAGAGAGAAAGAGAGAGAGGGGGAGAGAGAGAGAGAGAGAGAGGAGAGAGGGGAGAGAGAAAAAGAGAGAGAGAGAAGAGAGAGAGGGGAGAGAGAGGGGAGAGAGAGGGGAGAGAGAGAAAGAGAGAGAAAGAGAGAGAAAGAGAGAGAAAGAGAGAGAAAGAGAGAGAAAGAGAGAGAAAGAGAGAGAAAGAGAGAGAAAGAGAGAGGAGAGATTTCTGCTTCACAGATATTTTTCTGCATCCTTTTTATGTCTCTGTGTATCCTTCTGACTCCAGGAGGAAAAAAAAAAAAGAAAAAAAGGAAAAAAGGGGGGAGGGATTTTTCTGGAGAGACTCTTTTCCCAGCCCCCAACAGCAGCTGGGATCCTCCAGGCCCCAGCCTCACCGTGTGTTTCAGTTTTGCCATTCTGTTTGATTATTTGAGGTCCAGCTCCACTCCTCAGGTCATGCAGGATTCCTGCAGCATATCGGTACGCACTGTGGTGATTGCAGCACACCTGTGGGGACAATTAAAGGGTGAAAAATGCTGCATGTGAGCAATTCGTACACTGGAACAAGCCTTTTGTCCGGAAAAGAGGAAAGAAGAAACAAAAGGTACGTGTTAGCCAGTTAAAATAAGTAGATTTGGGTAATGAATGGGATTAAACCAAAGGCAGAGCATGCACTAAAGAGTTCTTCCTGGAAATGCAAGTATCTGGGGGAAAGATGGGACTGGTTTTCTAACCCTCATTCATTTCACAAGATGAGCAGTTTCTGCTCAAGATGTGACTTTCTCTGGAGAAACAATAAAACCAAGAAAACTCCACCTAATCAAGCATATCAGACCTATTTTAGTGACCTCTGTAGTGGGTCCAAAATGTGTTGTCATCTGAGCCCTGTTTTGTCCTGCAGGTGAGAGCATGGGGAGAAACATGGCTCGAGTCCAATGATTCCCACAAAGATGCGTTTCCTTCCCAACAGCACTCTGCAACCCCCAGTTTCACTTCTCTGCTTTTGATTTCCAGCAAAGCAAGGGTTGACACAGATTAGAGGCCCCTGGTGTCTGTGAAAAGGAGCTGAGGTTGCTGGAAGTACAGCTATTGCTGCACTCGTGTGCACCTGTGTTTGCTTACATGCATGAATTTGCTGGGCTGAGGAGACAGTCATCTCTTGGAAATCCAGGGAAGGAAAGCAGCCAAGAGACAAACATGRGAGAGGGGAAACACGTACCTGGCCCCGGGTCCCCACAAGGCTCATGGAGGGGTGCCAAGGCCCTGCAGTGACACTGGGGAAGGCGTTTTGTGACCCCAACCCTGTCAACAGCCCAAGCTGTTGGGCTTCCTTGGGCCAGGAAGGTCCAAGCTCAAGCTGTGAGGCACCTCCCCGGGGCTGCAGGCAATCTTCATGCTGCCCCATGTATCCTGTAATTGCCCCGTCCTTGGGTGGGCTGGTGCTTCACAGCGGGTGAGTGTGTGCCCCCCAGCAGACCTTGTCACCGTGCGCTGGAGACATTGGGGAGACATTGCCCAGCAGGCTTCAAGGCCATCCCAATGGGGTCACATATTGTCSTCTCCCAGGCCTCTCTGCCCCACAAGCCTGAAGGTTGCCATCCTGCTGCAGGACAGGGAGTGGATCGGATCCCCATGCATGCCTTGGAGTCCCCTGTGTCACGTACAGGAGCAACCTCAGCCAGCACCTGCAGAAAAGCACACACTGTGGCCTGCTCTTTGAAGTTCATGGTCTCTTGCTGCGAGTTTTTGTTTCCCTAGATGTGCAACACTGGGCTCTGAAACAGCTTTCGCCCCACATCCCCCCTGCTAAAATCTCCTACCTCCCTTTCGTGAGGGATCCTTGCTGTCCTGGGGCATACTCAGGGCAGGGATTTTGTGAGATCCTTGCTGTCCTGGGGCATACTCAACCATATTTGCCAAAATGGTAGGGCTGGCCGAGCATCGTAGCGCCTCATGGCAATGGGATGGGACAGGACTGGCATTTCCCCACTGCCAGATCATCATTTCTCACTTGGCAGAGGGAAGTAACTCCCCATTCATTCCCCAGGGCATCCCCTTAAAGCATGAGAAGGAAACAAAGCCCCAGGGGAAGGCTAAAAGCAAACACAGGCCTCCAGCACGGACAGCTATGCCTTGGCAAGCTTGGCTTGCCTCCAAGCCACAACACTGCCCAGAAAGAAAGGGGCAGACGGCGGGGAAGGTATTTACAAGCCTGGCACCAATTTCTGCAATCACCGTGGCCTCCATGCGAGTTGCAAGCCAGTGTTTTCTCCCTGTTATGGAAAGAAGACTGTAATCATTTTGCCCATGTCCTGAAGACAGAGTGGCAGGCAGCCCCAGCACAYGGCATTTCAAAGCACATATACTCTTAGACAAATGCAGGACTTTGCTTTCTGCACGTCTTCTAGGACTGCAACAATAAAAACCTCCTAGCAGGTGTAAAAACCTCCCATGAGGTATTTTCCCTCTTTCCCATCCTCATCTCGGAGTAACTCACCCTGTGCTCTCCCCAGCAAACACAGGCACGTATATAGGGGAGCTGTCAATACACCATAGCTGTGCTGGTCTCGGAAAAGTACTGCTAAGACATGGAGCTGCTTCAGCAAGGTGCAGCCTTGTCCCCAGYGGGGAATCCCAAGGGTGTGAGGTGTGGAGAAGAAAAAAAGTGGATCTCAGAATCAAGAGAGAAAGAGAAAAGAGCAGTGCCAGACTCAGCACGTGCTAATGTCTCCTTCCCTGGCTGGCACCCTGGGTCATTTCCCCGCCAAAGGGGGCTCCTTGCTGGTTGGCACCTCAGTTCCCAGAGGAGATGTGGTCGGCAGCAGAGAAAGGAGCTGCCTGGTACCACGGGTTCAAGGAACAGCTGTCTCTGCCCACGGACGGGGAGCAGCGCCTTGCAGCTCCTGTGCAGGATGTGTGGGGTCCTGCACGTCACCCTGATGCAGAAGGGCAGCGCAAGCCCCTGAGCGACCAAGAGCAGGTTCGGCAGGCGAGACCATTAATGCAGATGGAGACGTATATTTAACATGAAAGAGCAAGGGAGACAGGCAGGAGCGAGCCAGGCAGGCAGGCACGGATTCACCCTGGCGCAGCTGGGTGCTGCCGGCTCTCCAGGCTGGGGCCCTGCACTGCTTTTGCACTGCACTAGTTGTCACAGGCACAACACCCACCGAGGCTGGTGGTGCATCTCCTAGGGGGAGGTTGCCTCTGAATGGGACCCCCCACCTGCAAGGAAGGTGCTTTCTGTAACTTAGCCCTGGATCCCAGCACCAGGGAGACAGTAGGAGCAGGGAAGGAGGGCAAGGAGAGGATGATGTTCACATCTGGGCACCTACAGACCCTATTTACGAAGGCAAAACACAGAGACAGCTCYGACCTTC